CCTCTCCAATCATTTCTGTACCCAAGCTGTTACACTTACTTTATGCTACTTGAACACCTGCTGCAAACTTCTTTAACAAGCAGAAAGCACACCCTCCCTGCTTCTACCTGTGCTAGGGAACTTTCTCTCCTGTGTTAATTTGTTCCAAAAGTTTAAAACACTAAGCAACTTCTTGCAGTAAATTTTTGCTATCAGTATCTGGATTCCAGGTCTTGCTTGCAGCTTTGTAAGGGCAAGAGATGAGGTCTGGGGTGCAAAACACTGAGTCAACAGCTAGAGAACAAGTCACCTGAGCTGCAGGTACAAAGCAGGACAAGCCTCACTCACACAGTCAGTGCAGTTGTGCTGGGTTTGGCTGGGATAGAGTGTTTTTTTTTCATGTAGCTATTTGGGGCTATGTTTTGGATTTGTGCTAAAAGCAGTGGACAGATGCTGTGGAACATCCCTTTGGTCAGTTGGGGTCAGCTGTCCCAGCTTCTTGTGCCCCCCCAGCCTCCTTGCTGGTGGGCTGAGAAGCAGAAAAGGCCTTGGCTCTGTGTACACCTTGCTCAGCTACAGCTAAAACACCTCTGTGTTACCAACACTGCCTTCAGCACAAACCCCAAACACAGCCCACACCAGCTACTGTGGAGAAGCCAACACAGCCAGGAAAAAACCTCCTTTTCCTCACTGTCTCTAATCCTGTCAGGAAGTCTGAAGAGAAGGACAAGTCACCCAGCATTCCTCGAAGAGTCAACATGTTCATCCTAATCCCATATCTGCATATCAAACACAGCAAATCCTATAAGAGCAGAAAGTTTGGAGGGCTGGAGCAGTTTGGTCCAAATGGGTATTTTGACAGCATGGGTTACTAACTATTTTTCTGTCTGAGTTGGCACTGGACTCCATTGGCTTGCACTGTATTTTCTTCTCAAGAAAAAGCTTTGTAAAAACTGTTCGAGCTTCACTGAGACATGTTAAAGAATTAATTACAAAGTAAAGCTGAAGGAGAAAATTAATTTTGGAAACACAAGAGGTTACTTTTCTTTTCCTCCCTTTTCTGGAAGTGGGGGAGGAAAGGCAGTTATTTTCATCTTCATGCTGGGGGCAGGAGTTGGGAGCTGTCCAGTCGATAACCTGGCCATCAGAACAAGGTTTGTAATTAAAAGGTCAGTGACCTGGAAAGCTGGGGCCTCACTCTCAGGGCTTCTCAGTAATGACGGCGCTATTAAATTAAGACTGTTATGAAATCAATGCTAAAAAAGCTTTCATGGTAACGAGGTTCCATTCAAGGACATGCAAACTGCCTCATGAAATGGACTTAAATTATAAAAAAAGAAAAGTAATAAAAGAGGGTTAAATTGAAATCTGCTGAAGAATTTGCTGTCTTTAAAGCCCTCCAGCAGTGGGCTGTGCCCCCTTCCCTCAGGTCCTCAAGGTGATCCATCTGAGTTTCTTTGGTAAAGGAGAATTCTAAGACAGGGGTTCAACTCCCAAGAATGCAGACTACAGAAAGAGGAAGATAATTAAGTCAGTTTTCTACTGGAGATTCTGGGGCTGACACCATTTGTTTCCAGGGAATCAAGTGTCTTAGAGCTCTGACTGGAAAGGGGCATGTGGAATTAAATAATTTTTTCATCTCTTCAGAAATCACCACAGTCTGGCATCTTGACACGGGCAAAATTTTCTGGAACCCTGATGCACTGCAAAAAACCTTCTGGGTAGACGTTTTCCCAACATAACTCAACAATTATACATTAACCTGCTCTAATGCACTCCTGTTCTCCCATCACCATTATTTCTGAGCTCCTCATATGCCTTTGTCTGTTCCCACAATCCCACTCTGGGAAGGCATTACTGTACTCATTTTACAGACGAAGAGAACAAGCAACTAACAAAACAGTTCTTCATCCAAGATGACACAACAAGTCTGGAACCTGGCAGTTTTTCCCTTCTCTGCCCCAAAAACCCAGCACCCTGAAAACAGAGCTCCCCACGAACAGTGCACTTCCACCTCCTTTCTCTGCCTTGCCAGAAGTTGCAGATTCAGAGCACACAAAATTAACAAGCCACATGGGTTACTGGCTGGGTAACTGAGCAGTACAGGACATCTGAGGCACAACAGTGAGATGACAGACACATTTCCACAAGGGTTTAAACCCCACATGCTGTCTAATTACTCCCAAGGCGCCGCTGATTCTGTGGCATGTCATCAGCAGAATCAGCGAGTTGGACAAAAAACAAACAGCATCTTTTTTTCCTTTCTTTTCTTTCAGATACTCTGAGGGGAAACAGCTGTTTTTTCCCTTCATCTGAAGAAGTTCATGATAAAAAGGAGGAAATGTCATAAATTACACAAAATGCCAGTGTAAGCTTCAAAGAAAATGATAAATGATTCTAATAACTTCATGTTTCTCATTAATGCCTCTGTATATGGGAGTTTAAAAGTGCTTAAGACAACAGAGAAATCTCATCCAACTTTTGAAAGCCCTTTTACAAATGCAGGACACCCTCGGTCTCCCAACTGTCATCAACACACTCACCCCATGTGCCAGAGAGAGCAGTTCAGCACCCCCTGACCTGCACAGAACCAGGGACCCCCCCTGCTTTCAGCCTCTGCAGCTGCTGCTTCCTCAGAAACCAAGCCCAGGCCAGCTGAGGATCCTGCAGAAACTTTCGTTTCTCATTGCACCAAAATGGATCAAACCAAATCCAGTTCTTGTATTAAATATTAAATAATACTAGAAGGAAAGAAAATTTGATTGGCCTTTTTTCAGAAGGGGACTCATAGAAAAAGAGGAAAAAATTCTAATTCAAGGCAGAACCATCCCTGCAAGTCTCAGAAGCGAAATTTCCTCGGCAAAGTCAGGATTGCAGGACCTTTTTGACCGGCAGTGAGGACTTCTCTGCCAGACAGCCTGAACTGGGGATAACCACTATCTTTGGGAATGACAGGGACTGTACATCAGAGAACAGGGGGACAGCCCATCGAACCCTGTAATCCCTCATCTCCTCGGCACTAAACCAGCACGACATCCACGCCTCAGGAGTAATTGCCTCCATCTGCAAGAGCACAGAGGTACCACACCAGTGTGAACCTTCTGCTCTCGAGCACTGAACACAGGTCAGATTCCATATGGACCCACTTCTAGTGACTGCTGGGTACAGGCACTACTGGACCCTGATCCTTCCTATCTCCTACCGTTAAGTTTTCAAACAAACAATTAGCACAAAGGGAAGGAGGGCTAATTAACAAACAGAAACAAACAAACAGCTCTACCAAACCATTTCAGCTCTTTAGTAATTATTAGCCAAGTAATTCATAAGAAGTATTAGTCGGGCCACAGTTTCTCTGCGCCTCCATCTCCCCACCCTTCCTCTTCTCCCAGTCAGGGATTTATTAAAATTAAACAGATTAGATGGAGCTCCTGATACTAAAAACTGTTCAGCAAAGCCTGCGGTGGGGAAGTGCAGAGCAAACACCAGAGACATTTGTCTCTAAATTGCTCTAAATACCTTCTGCAAATGAAATTCTAACCCAGCTGTGTTGAGAGAGAAAATGAGGAATAACTGGTCATTGTCAGCACAGAAGAAGATCAGGCAGTTATAATATTGCACGATATACTGGGGGCTAAGGATCTCTCGGCAACAATAGATTTTGTATCAGGTTACCCCGGGTAATCAGCACAGCTTTTAGGCTCAGCTTTCCCTTGCTTCATTGCTTCGATGATAGAGTTGAAATCCCCAAGCTTTTATGATTAATTACTCCCCGTAGGTCCACATATTTCAAGGAAAAACTCATGGAGCACAGCGACCAACAGGCTCCAAATTTTAATGTCGTCCTGATGGCAGGGCAGGGCAGGCAGCATACCTATGTGATTGGAATGTCCTGTTAATTGGCACGAGGACAAGCAGTGAGAGGATCACACTCCAGATGATGTGAACTACTTGTCATGACATCATTGCCAAAACACAAGGCTGCCATTCCCTTCTAGGTCCTTTGCTATTCAGGATGAGCAAAGCCGTGCATACCCTTGAGCCCTCCATCTCATGACATCAGGTCTCAGGCGTCTCAATAAACAGTTCATAACCCCAAACAGAAAAATATATATTTCATAGGCTTCTCTACTATTCAAAGCTCAAGATCTTTAGCTCTAGAATTTGATGTACCCTGAAGTACTTGTGACCTCAATGTATAAGTGGGTCGCTCCCCTCTGAAGTCTGGAGTTTGTATTTTCAGTATCATTTCAACACTTAAAGTGCTCCACAGTGCATGTAATTAACTCCAAGTTAAAACTGTCCTTATTATTTACATCTTGTGGTAAGGATCTAAGCAGTATGGTCCCAGGAGGGTAGCAAAATATGGAGCAAACTTCACCTGAAATGCACTGCAAGTTGTGGAACAAAAACTTCAGAAATAAAAAAGGAACAAAAGATAGTTCCACTATGAGTCAGAAAGTAAAATAAGTGCTCAGTAGGCAATGGCTGAAGTATGTTCCATCTGTCTAAGACAATATAGGATTTGTCAGGATCTGTTCTATCCGTGCTATAGAAAAGGGCTAAACTCAGTCAGTGGTTTACCATTTCAGCCTGAAAGTCAGGCTGACCCCAAGCTTGACCTTAACCTGACCTTGTTTACTTTCACCAAGTCCTTTGCCCTTCACTGTTCTCCCTCTCTTCAGAAACGTTTGACCTTTTCACCCAGACGTTGGCCAGTGTCAGTAAGGCTAGAACTGACCAACTAGTCCACAGCTTTGAACTGTCCTCACTGCAGAAAAGATATGATAACAGTTAACCCAAAAACTTCCCATGTGTCTTTTGTATTCCACAATTCCACATCTGGTGCCAATATTGCTCTAGTCAGTTGGGAAGAGACTGATACTTAAAAATTTCAAATCTTCTTTTGAGGCAGATCACTTGCTTTGTCCTTAACATCTAGTTTTCCATAGCAATACATTTTGGCTTTACACTAACTCAAGGTCCCTCACTATCACTGAGATCACAAACTAAAGAGTCCATACCTTTCTTCTTCAGGAATGCTCTTCTGGTTGCAAGAGGACTTTGGCGGACCCGTGGATTCTGTAAAAACTTCACTGCTGTCACAATCTGAGGAGGGCAGGAGGATTGGAGAGAAAGAAGAGAGAACAGACCCAAGTTAGGAATGGTCAAAGCCCTGTTATACATTGTGCATTCTGTAAGCAAGGCAAGGCATCGCACCCACCACGTGGAGAGGGGCTGGAGCCAACACCGACCCAACTTTCAGAACTGGTTCAAAGAGTATCAGAGCCTGTGGCTCAAATCTAATCAGGCAGCACAATTATGGTGTTTCAACCTAGAAGTTCTTGTTGAATTACTCTTGGAGCAGCTCAACCTGCACAAAAATCTCCATTGAGATTCTCAGGGGTTTCTGTCATTTATATTGTGATCTTCTTACCTAGGTTGGCTACTACAGTTAAGGGCAACCCTGAGTCAATGCATGTGAAGAAGTAAGAGCTGGCTTACTGTAAGAATGCTTCCTTTCTATCTGACTTAAAGCTCCCTGGAAATTCTAAGAGATAAAGGCCTTTTCTGCCACCATTCTAATTTACTGAAATCAATAAATAAACCTCAGCTTGAAAAGAAGCAACTTCACATCTTTTGGATCCCGTAAGAATAATATCAAAAAAAGTCACTTTTAGTGACATAAATGGGTAGATGAGTAATTAAAGTTCCACACCAGCAAAACCCACAGAGTACTTTTGTCTACAAATGGCCTTCTACACATCCTTCTTTAAGATGACAGAGAACCTGAAACAGAGCACTTAGTCAAACAAAGGGTAAAGTGTGGGGTAATACCCAGTGGCATCATCAGCAATGGCATAGTTTTACATTTCCACTTAGTGCCAGTGAAAGGTATTTGGTTTTTTTCTTCAAATGGTAGTTCCACTTTCTGCACACTCTGCTATACTGTTACACATGTTATTACATGTTGCTGCACCGGTGATTCATTCTACTTTTATATAAAGACATCTGTTCCAATTGTGGTATCGGGAGGAATAATGTGTTAACAGCACTCAGGTGATGGACACATCCATGTGAACTAGTGGAAGGCATAACTTCCCTCCTCTAGAGCTGAAAATAACCATCCTAATACGCTAGACCTACGTCAGGCAGGTCTTGAAGAGTTTATCTTAAAACACGGTTTCTGGAATTCAGTTCCAAAAAGGTTTGCAAAACTTTCACGGCAGCAGAAGAAAGGAAAATACAGCATCACTCCTGAAATCACTAAGTTTCACTTTGTGTTTGAATCAAACGCTTCGAATATGCATTTCTGGTCAGAGAGCAAAGTTCTGATGGGTTTAATGGCACTTTCAATGTACTCCTCAGTGCATTCCATCAATGTTTTTTTTCTTTTAAATTGCATCTCTTATTTCTTTAAATACATTAATCAGGCTAGTGTAGGCAAAACGGATCCATTGGACAATGCAATAAACATGAATTATCATCTATCCAACATGCATAATGGCTTAAAAATACATAATAGCAGGTGTAGTTTAAATGATTAGTTATTACACCTGTGGTGGGTCTGATTCAATTGGGGAAAATCATCTTTAATAGGTTAAAAGGTTTAGATCACCAGGCTTCCCTTAAAGTGGCTGTAGAGAGGGTATGATGGAGTACGCTGTCATTACTAATTCATTTAAGAAAAACATGGGGGATACAGCAAAGAACAGCATAAACGAGCGAATCCAATTTAAACATCAGGTAAAGCAGAAAACACCTTTTAAAAAAGCATGATAAATGAATTTGGGAGAGAGATGGAATTGACAGATTTATTTTAACGGGAATTTGACAAAGTCCCAGCACACTTCCAAGTTGGGAGGAAGAAACGAACGGGGTGGTTTTAATTCTTTTCCCTTTTCTTGTTTTCCTGCATTTTTTTTCCCTTAAGTTTACATTCGGCAATTTTGAACCATAAAATACTAGAGCAAAACACCCCACATAAAGTACACTTGGGCTTCATTTATGTGCACTTGATCTGTCTCCAGCTGAAATGCAGGTGACAGGCAAATCACAGATTTAAACCGTGCTGATACTGCTGTGCCAGATGCAGAAATGTAAAGCACCCAAACTAATAACCTTAAGATAATATGCTGAATAAGAAAGATGCCCAAACGAGCAGACCGGCAAACATGTGAACGTATCAACACCACTTCCCATCTAACAATAATAACTTGTGTCTCCAGAAACTCCTCAACACTCCCCCCCACGCTGAGTGAGCCAGAGACACGAACGGCCTGCAGACCTGCAGTTCTGCAAGCTCTTATATTTAATTATCAATTTTTAAGCATTAAAAAAAAAAAAACCTGTAAGAAAAAAGCAGTATTTTTCATTATGCTGTTTCAGTCACAACCGTGTGAGCATTTCATTGATTCTAACCCTTTATTAAAACTTATTTTTGCCTTGTAAAAATGTAAACATTTCAGTAGTAAATTTTGCTCCAAAATAAACTTCTATTTTATCTCTCTCCTGCACCACTTCCTCCATTATTCACAACCTTTTTAATCTTAAAACAAAATAAAATTACAAGCAACAACAAACTCCACAAAAAAGAATCCTGGACATGTATTCCGCCTCCCAGTAATCCCATGTTTCTCATATTTGTGTTTGCATTTGCCTCTGAACATTCCTCCTATAGGCTGAGCTGAAACATCCTCATATTTATAATCCATCTTGTATACACGAGCAACTTACAAAGCAATTTTGGCCATGTCAAAATGCCAATATTTTCAACAAACACACACAAGAACTTCCCTACCTTCTATGGATCATTTTCTTTGCACAAACAAGGGCAACTGCAGTCCATAATTTAAACAACAGAAAAAGGAGGAGGAAGATGAGAAGACTTGCAGTCCTGTGTATAGCCAAAAAAATCATGTGGCAAATAGCACTCTGACTCAGCTGCTAACATTGTTCCATACTATTTCTGTAGCATTTGTAACACTTCTCCAAATTTTTATGGTATTAGGACACTGCCAAATAATGAGCATTGTATCACTGCTCTGAGGCTTGGATTGCCAGCACGCACCACCCAGCACATTGGCAGGGTCTGGTGGGTCAGGTACATATTTCTATTAAAGAAAGACAGTTTGTATTTGGTTTTTAAAAGCCAGTCAATCCCATAAACTTGCTTTCCCACCACCACCTCTCCTGCAGTGACAGGATCCACAAAGGCATCTTTCTGACTGAGTGGAGACGGGTGGAATCCTGCAGCAGGTCTTGTCCTGCAGTTTGATTTTCCAATTAAAAGATGAATGTCACTGTTCATAGATTATATTTGCAACTGGCCAAATTACATAAATTCAGGCCAAATATTCTGCTTCAATGTCAAAGATATAAAACGGAGACAGGAACTTTATTGCAGATGTTGTGGGAGTGCAGCAGGCTGGCAAAATTCTGGGCCAAAGCACAGCACTTGGACGTTACAGCCAAGGTCCCTCATTCCTAATTTCCCTCCCTTTTGTGTTAATGGGGAAGATAAAGACAGCCTTATTTCTTATTGTGCTCAAAGCTGCAGGGTTTCCAATAAAGCAATCTAAATGACTTTATCAGTTATTAGCATTAGAAAAATAAACCATGAAATTCAAAATACTGTGGCAAATGCCTATTTTCTACCATCTCAAAAAAAAAAAAAAGCCAACAAACAAAACCCAAACAACCGAACCCAATTAATTAACAGAAATGTAAAAGAAAATCATCAGACAAAAACCAAACAACCAAACCCAATTAACAGAAATGTAAAAGAAAATCATCATCAACAAAAGTTCCAGAGGATTTGCTCAGAGAGTTCCACGTGGAAAACAGACTCTAAACCCACCAGGAGTGCAGCCCGTAGGAGCTCTAATAGATTCCCTAATACTGGGAACCCTCTGTAGGTTATTACTAAACAGCATTTGTTGATAGACTGAGACTTTGAGATGACCTGTGATGTAAAGGTTGGGTCTGAATTATACGTTGCAAGGGATGGTATTTTGTCTTTCTGAGTGGATCTGTATCTGTTTAAATGCAACACTTCTTTTCATTAAGCAGAGGCGGCCCAGGCCATGAACTATGCACAGACAGTTTACATTACATGTGCGGAAGCAATCAACACTGGCAATATACATGACGTATGTAAAAGAAGTTGGAATTAATTTTTTTCCAGTGTATTAAAAAATAATAATATGGCAGTATCAACAAACACTCAACCTATTTCAGCCAGAGCAGAAGGCCACGGCTATAGGGCAAATGGAACTGATCAATATATTAGCCTACAGCAACACCCCCTCAGTGTACGGCTGTATGTTTGCAAGGCTCGGAAGATTAAATTGTCTGTGAAAGGTTTCTGCACTCCTACTCTAAAGGAGATACCCAGAATCCTGTTAACAAGCATCAGGCTAAAGCCAACTTACGTTTTAACAAGGGCTGACTTAAAAGCCTGGCACGGTGGTGAACAAGAAAACCCCTTCCAGCAGAAACGCAGCATTTTAGTAAGAAATCAGTGCCCTGCCAGAACTAACTTGACAAATATGGTTATCGGTGGCACACGGAAATAGTTGCAAAGCAGCTGTTAATCAGGGAAACACATCATAGAACGCTGATGCCAGCACTCGGAAAAAATGCAAGGGGCTAATTATGAAGCCATATATCTCACTAAGGAGGCACTGCTCCCGCATCCCGGCAGCGCTCCCGCCCAGCCGGTCCTGGGACACCGCTCCAGCCTCCACCTCCAGGACAAGCCTTGTCCCAGCTCGGCCACCTGCGCCCCAAAATTCCTGCGAAATTCGTGTTTCACAGAAAGCGCTTGTTATTTGTAAAGGAATTATCTGCAGGTCATACTGGTGGTCTAGTGGTTAGAGTGTCTGACTCTCACCGCTGCGACCCGGGTTCGATTCCCGGCCCCCTGGGCAGGTGGATTCCGTGCGAAATTCGTCCAAGCTTTTCGAACCTCAGGACTAAAGGGTGGGCTCAGTTCAGCGCACGCTGTGTCTCACCTAAAAATCCACTGCGCAGGCTGGAAGGGTTAATGACCTTTCCCAAATCTTCGCTCGCGAAGACTGGCCATTATCTGCAGGTCAGTCAGGGGA